GAGGCGTGCTGCTGCCATTAGGAACAACGCTGCTTCTTGCCGAGCTCACGGAGCTTGGCTGTGAAAGCTTCAGCACCTGACTTGGCCGCTTCGATGAGCTGCTGCTGCTCAGACTCGCCCAGCTCATCGCATCCTCGTTTCTGTGCTTCGCCACGTCCATCGTCATCAGGCGCGTCGCCATGCTTATGATCATTAGCATTGGCATGGTCAACTTCCATCTTGGGGACAGACATGTTGGCCGCGAGGACTTCCGGAATTTTGCCCCATAGTGGCGACGCCAGAAACTGCCGTACATCTTCATCTTGAACGTCATCAGTTTTGAGGTCCAGAGGGTCACGCGCTCCAGCAGAGGGGTTGGCATGTCCAGCAAGCTGCTGGGTGGCGGCAGTAACCTCTGCCTGCAGCGTGGTGACCTCGATCCTCTTGGCCTCCAGCATGGCGCGCTTCGTCTGGAGAGATGTATGGAGCTCCTCCAGCTGCTTCCCCTTCTCTGATATGTCGGCTTCCAGCTTCTTGACCGCCGCTGACGCCTTCTGCAAGTCTTGCCTGGCCCTGCGGTGGGTGAGGACTGGAGTCCGTAGCCCCTTTTGTTTAACTTTGATGTCATCAGTCTTGGCTTGTTTACCCTGCCGCAGCTCATCGGACCCACTTCCATTCGGCAGAGACTTGATGCTGGCCTCGAAACATGAGAGTTGAGCAGCCAGCTTTGATGTCTTGATCTCATCACTGTCATTCTCATTGATCTGGGAGGCCTGGGCTGGGTCCGCAGCCGACTTCCAAGGCGGCGGTTTGGCAGGAGCAGCATTCGACTTCCCACCTGAGTACGACATCGACGCGTTTGCATTCTGGGGAACGGCACTGCGCAGGAGCTGCTCGATTGCCTCGAGCCGCTTGTCGAAATGGCTGCTCGACGGGGCAGTCCCTTTGCCTGGCAACACTCCAGGCTGATGCCGACCACCTCCTTTTCCCACTCCTGCGAGCCGCTCCTCCTCCCACTTCTTGTGGTTGTCCCAGGCAGCCTGGCGGATGCGGGCGGGCGCTGCTTGCCCACAGGCGCATCGCACACGGCACGCCCAGTTCGCACTCGCTTCTCCGCATCTGCCGCAGGCCCAGAAGGGCCTACGCGGCCCTCGCAGCACATCTGTGATGTCGGGAGGCGGACTCTGTCCCATGGGCCCCGCAGAGGAGCCCTCGGAAGAATCGTGACAAAACTTTGGCCCGCAAACACGAGCCGCACTGAAGACACGCGCTTGCAAGCACAGGGCGCCACCTGTGCCAGTACGGCTGGAAGGTGGAGGGAGAGGGAAGGTGGAGGGAGAGAGGAGGAGGAGAGAGGGTGAGGGCGACGAGGAGGCCCAGCGTGACCCCAAGCACCAACGACATGGCCATTAACCCTTCCTCCAAGTCTCCTTTTCCATAGTTCCCCAGAAGACGGTGTGTTCGATGCGGGAAGTGGCTCATCAAAAGAAAACTGTATGCTAATCCCAGTCGGTCCACAGCACCGCGGGTCAACGTGACTGTTGCGTCCTGTCAAGCCCAAATCGTACCAGAACACGATTCTTGGGACTTCCGAGCGATTGGAAGATCATCAACATGATGGGAAGTTGTGTCCTGACATTCCGAAATCGCCTGGGTAAACAAATCCTGAGATGTCAACAACACGAAGCTTGCAAATTGCTGCACAGTTTCAGAAAACGAGGGTCACAGGGGCTAGGGCGAGAGCCACAGTTTGAAAGGAACCGCCCTCCATCCTTGAAACTGTTAAGAACTTGTCGGCGAATGTTCGCGGCGCTGAGGCGAGAGTCACATTTTGAGAACCACGTGCCTTCCATCCTTGAATGTGTTGCAACATTTGAAGACGAATGTGCGCTGCGAAAAGACGAGAACAACATTTTGAAAACCACCGGCCTTCCATCTGTGAGGTTGCTGCAGCTCTCAAGCTTCAGAGCCATCAAAGTTGAGGCAATCTCAGGCGAAACGCTCGGTCCGCCCTGCCGACACGTCTGAGGGTGCGACAGGGAGGAACTTGATTCAAGGAAGAGGCATGGGGAGGAGAGGGCGGAGGGAGGAGTAGGAGGGACGAGGATGAGAGGAGGAGGCGAAGCAGGAGGAGCAGGAGGAGCAGGAGGAACAGGAGCAGGAGGAGGAGGAGGAAGGGGAGGAGGAGGAGGTGGAGGAGGAGAACCTTCGCCCTCACTTCACCTTGCCCTTCCCAGCCAACCCTTTGCCGGCAGTGGACGGGTGGCGGATCGGGGACCATGCCAGGTGCGGGACGGGGGGGGCGTTGGAGGCACGGCCCGCCGCCTCCGGAGGGCTGCGGGAACCTCCCCATCCATCGGCGGGTGCCCCGCGGAACCGACCCCCCGTGCCGCCACACCGGGTGCCCTCGGCACGCTCAGGCAGGTTGCGGCTGCCCTGGGTGGGACAGGGGGCCGGTTCGCGGGAGGCCCTATGGACGCAAGGGCGCCCTCGAGGGCGCTGCTAAGTTCTGCGCGCTTCGCGGTGCGTCCAAGATTCTTCCTTATCCCCTTTTCTCCCCTGGGGGGCGGCGCGAGAGCGCGAAGTTATTCGCGCTGTGTGCAGCGCGAAGCGCGAAGTTGGGCGCCCTTGTGGACGGAGGGATGAGGCCTTCATGCCATCCCACGTAGGACAACGGTCGGCCGTGGCCCGCACACCAGCAGCCACGCCGCTGCCATGCACCTCACCTCTCACCTCCTCTCCGTTCTCCTTGTCAGCTGCTTGCCTCTCACTTCCCACGCTCACCGCCGTTCGCCGCCACCCCACCTCGTCCTGCCTGCTGCTCACCTCTTTGATGATTTGATCGTCCTCCTCCTCCTCCCTCCCCCCCCAGGGGCGCCGAGGGACATAGTTACCTCGGCCCCCAAGGGGCGCCCTTGCCCGTCGTGCGTTCGTCCCATCATGATATTAAAGACCTGGTTTGACCCTCCTCCCCCTCGGCGGGGGACTGCTTCATTAACGACACTGGAGCCACCAGCCTGAGAGGGGAGGAGGTGGGAGGAGGAGGAGGATGAGGAGGATGAGGAGCCGAGGAGGAGGCTCAGAGGGATGTCGTCCACCTGGGGCCCTGGCGCGCCCCCCCCCCCAGGCTCGCAGAAGTGGCTGCTCCGCTTTGGCGAGGTCACCCCCCAGACCCCCCCCTGCTTTTGGCCACCGTTCAGAGGGGAACATCAGGGGGGAACATCTCAGGGGAGCCAAGTTTCGAGAGTCCAGGTGTTCGGAAGGTTTCGTTGGCCTCGGGATGGTTTCCAGGCTCGAGGGCCTTTCCAGCAAGTACTCCTCGCCGAGAGCTTTCTGGGGGCGCCTGGATCAGCCCATCATCCTAAACGACTGCTGAGAGCTGAGTAGTGGGGGATCTGCTCAGGAAGAAACGCATCGACCCCAAATCGGAGCTCAGAACGGGGAAAACGGGCAGTCTAACGGGGAAGATTTTTGTATGCCGTGTTCTGTTGTCTAACGGGGAAAAAAGGCAGTCCGGGGGAAGTTCATGTGTTTGTGTTATTCGTAGGTCTCTTTTTGTAGACCCGGGTCGTTTTACGTCAGATCGGCGAGCTTGCAGAGCCCGATGTGGTTGAACGACCGCCGGCGGATTTAGAAGGAAGGCAGATGGAGTGGACAATGAGGAGGAGGAGGAAGGCGAAGAGGAGGAGGAGGAGGAGGAGGAGGAGGAGGACGGCAGGATGAGTTGGTTCTAAGGCAAATTCAACATCGCCCTAAGTAGATTCTTGGTCGAGCCCGACCTGACCCCTGACAATGTAGGCCTCATACTGCCTCTCCTGGCTGAATATGGCTATATTGTTTTCGAACAATATGGCTCAATACCTGCTGAATCCGTCTGGCGAGGCCTTCATCGAGCCGAAGCAAAGCCCAGGAACTGCCTCCGAAGAGGGGGAGGAGGAATCGGGGAGTCATGATGAAGAAAACGTGAGGGGAAGAACAAGACAAATATTCGGAGGATGGGGGAGGGGAAGAGGAAGAGGAGGACGTGCACTGGGATGAGGGGGAGGGGGAGGAGGAGGAGGAGGAGGAGGAGGAGGAGGAGGAGGAGAGGAGGAGGAGGGAGGAGGAGGACACGGCTGAGGACAAGCGGCCCCCGTTGATCCATCCCCCCCCAGCCCGCTGACGTTTGCGGGGACGGGGGGTCGAGGGCATCGGCGCTGCGACGCGACCTCGCCCGCATCACCGAGTCAAACGGAGGAGGAGCAGGAGCAGGAGCAGGAGCAGGAGGAGGAGGAGGAGGAGGATCGAGGAGGAGGAGGAGGAGGAGGAGGAGGAGGAGTAGCAGGAGGAGGAGGAGTAGGAGGAGCGAGGAGGAACGAGGAGGAGCGAGGAGGAGGAGGAGGAGGAAGGAGGAGGAGGAGGAGGAAGGAGGAGGATTAGTCGACCAAACAACAAGCGACACTACCCCACCTGCGGCCCTCCAGGTTGCGCGTTGGCCCGACGGGGGCCGCTGCGTACAGCCGGACCGAAGTATACGATCGATGTCGATGCGGGGAGGGTGCCCACATGTGTTCGTGTTTGTTGGAGGTCTTGTGCGTCCCGGGGAGGGTGTCCTCGGGTGTTCTTGCTGTTTCTGTTTTGGCCGACGGAGGGTCCCACGCTTTGGAGGGATGCCCTTCTGGCCCAGGCCCGACTGAATGCCACTGCAGAAGCCCCAGCTGGATGTCATGGTGTACAGTCCACACGCATGGTAAGGCTGGGCATCTTTACCAAGGGTGCCCTTGCATCATTGCCTCCTCGACCCATCCTTGGCCGCTTTCGCGGGCCGTGCCCCGCTCGAAAAGCCTCGACACGGCCTTCCAAGGCCCTTGCATCCGTATCGCGCGTCCTCGTGATACGGGCCGACTGTATATGCCAAGGCCCATGGGACCGCAGGCAGGATCGTGTCGTTTGTGTTCTGGCCCAGCTCGCAGCAGCAGGCGCGGCTCCGCTGGCGGCGGGCGGCCCCGGCGACGGGGAGCCGCGCCCGGGCCTCCGCGGAGGACATGGTGCACGTCTTGAGGTGCCGGGCCGACCAGCGGGCCAGGGCAAAGGCGGCGAAGGTGAAACCGAGGCGCAGGGAGGAGCGAGGAGGAGCGAGTAGGAGCGAGGAGGAGGAGGAGCAGGAGGAGCAAGGAGCAGGAGCAGGAGGAGAAGCAGTGAGGAGGAGGAGGCGCGATGGGCGAGGAGGAGGGAGAAGGAGGAGGAGGAGGAGGAGGAGGAGGCGGAGCGAGGAGGAGCGAGAAGGAGGGAGGAGTGGAGTGGAGTGGAGTGGAGTGAATCCCATGGCGATGCCAGTTCGTCGACCACATTAAAGAGAGGACCTCAGCTGCCGACTGTTGAGTTCGGCCTAGCTCAGGACCTTGGGGTTACGCCCATTCTTGATGCGATCTAAGTACACTCTGCCCGTGGGGGTGACGGTGGAGCACGGCTTCCCAAGGGACCGAAGCTGCTTGTCAGCTATCCCCCCGCACCGCCCACAGAACCAAATCTTCAAAACCATGTGATAATTCAAGAGATGCGAGGAGTGGAGCCAGCCCCCCGCAACATGAATTCGGGCACCAACGGACGGGGACAGAACGGTGCCGTCAACATTCACGAGACGCGGGCACGGGGTGTGCACCCATTCACGAGCCGCGGCCACTGAGGCCGAACCGTGGCATTTTTAAACACCTACGCCTGGTTTCGTCGAGACTGTGCTGAGGCATAAGCTGGGCGAGGGCAGCAGCAGGGGGCGAGGAGGGGGAGGGAGGCGGAGGGGGGACCACGTCCCCCCCGCTCACTTTTCTCTCCTGCCTCCTGCAGGCCTCCAGCTCCGCCTCGGACGCGAGGCTGTCCAGCGTGGCCCGCAGCAGTCGTAGCCGAACACGTCGTGCTCGATCCTCGTGTCGCTGTACTCTGTGGCGGACAGCTTCTGGGAGTCTGCAGCCCTCGGCTGCATGGTCGGCCAGCTCGTCCGCCACTGTGTTGGCAAGGACTAGGCTTCGGAGAGCCTTGCCATTCACGATGTCCTGTGCCGTCTGGTGGCTGTGTGTAAACAACAGTGATATGCAGTTCGGGCCCCTGGTTCTGAGGAGGTCCGCCATCTTCACCCACAGGTCCCCGTCATCACTATGGGGGCTCTCATACCTCCTCTCATACCAAGCTTACAAAAGTGGTTCGTAGTCCGTGATGTACGTCGTGAGATGGCCTGTCGTGGCCCAGGTAGCTAGTAGGAAAGCCTGGATTTCTCCTCGAGCCACGCCCTGCCGCGGTCCGGGAAGGGGTCCCGCAATGGTGGAACATACTTGGACATCGGGTTCGAGGGAATCGAACTTGGCGATGGCGAGGCCCACTCTCCTGAATTTCGAATTGTTGGAATCTGGGCCTCCAGACGCATCACCTGCAATGATAATCGGCCGTGTGGCCGTTCCATGTCCCATGCATCCGCTCGTCAGGTCATTAATGCCAGAGGCATTCCATTGCTCCTGAGCAACTGGTGGTGGTACACGTGTCCACGGCTCAAGGATGATGCCTCTAAGCCAAAACGCTTCACATAAATTCATCTGCGTGAGTGCCTCATGGACCAGATCTTCAGAATCCTGGTAGGCCTTGGAGCCTCGGTTGGCCTCGCATGTCCAATACCGATGCTCCAAAGTTTCTGGTCCAGCACGGCATCGATCACACTCAGCTCCTCCTGCAAAGTTCTTCACCATCTGTAGCTTCCTTGTCTCGGGCCAGCAGCCCGCCGCCGCCACCATGAGCATGGTCTCAGCGAGTCTCTTGCCGTGCTCGACTTGGCTCAGGTGGCCGATGAGACGGCGGTATGACTCGTTGTCGGCGCCCTGCTCGAGCCCGCTGCCACAGTAGTGTTTGCTCGCCTGTTCCCACACCTTGAGGTACGCCGCCTGCTGCACGTCAGCGAGGATACCTCGGTGGGAGTCGCGAGCCTTGCAGCCTGTGTAGATGTCGTCTGGGAATTGCCACTCTTCATACGAGTTGTCCCCAGTCAGATACGTCCAGTAGAGGCTGACGTCGGTGTCCAACCCAGACGCATCACATCAAAATAACCTCTGATATCGGGCCTCGCACATTACGCGCCTGGTCAGCAGGTGGTAGCGAGACCATCTTCTCAACTATCGTGCGCCAGACTCGATGCACCGACGGTCTGATACGTGCGCGTGCCTGCCAAACCTAGGTCCACATATCGATGCATTTGGTGGGCATCGTGATGGCTGGGTCGGCCCCGTGGACTCTCAAGTCCAGGACCGTCGTAGGAGGAGCACGCCTGTCCTAGCCTGCGCCTCGCCGCCCTGAGCTGGTGCCCGAACACGCCGTGCACTTGGTGGCCATGCAACCCCGCGGGGATGCCGCCCTGCATCTGCAGCTTCGCCATGACGGAGTACTGCCTAGACGCCTTGGTGAAGCGCCTGATCTTCTTGCTCGTGACGAGGTGCTTGGCCTCCCGCTTAGTACGGGTAGCTCTAGCATGGCGGCCGCAGCCGAAGTCCACACCAAGGTGCGCGGCCTGCCGCACAGGTTGCACATTGTATCCAGCCTTCCTCACAGCCCTCGCAATAACCAGCGCATCTTGATGAGTAGCGCACATCACCGTCGATTTCGCTGCCACTCTCAACTTGCATTTACCCAATTCACGACAGGTGTCGAGCAGGCATTTGATCATGAGTTGCCGGACTGCCCGTCGCGAGCTTTTCACCACCTGCGAGGGGTCGCCCACCCGCGGCCTGTGCCCCATGCGGGCGTTGGCCGTCGCAACCGTCTGCATCACATAGTGCATGAGGATCTTCGCGAACCTGGTGCCAGAGCGCAGGCCTTGGACCACGCCCTGGCTGGGGTCGAAAGGGGCGCTGGCAGCTCCCAGCTGCTCCAGCGCCCGCGGGGCGAAACATTGCAATAATTCCAGAAAAAGAATAACTGGACGAAAATTAAGACGCAGAGCTGCTGCAACTAAAGGGGCCCATGGAATTGAATCGTAAAAGGCTTCGGTATCCAACATCCCATGTCCATATTGAATGCCCATCTTGTGAGCGATCCCATCATCAATTGCAGGGGGAAGCGCCTCCTGGAGGCAAGAGTTTCCTTGTATCGCGGCATCCCAATGTTGCACCGTAGTTTGCGACCAAACTTGGACTTCGCTCTCTCTCTCTCTCTCTCTCTCTGAGTTTAGACCATAATCGGCCTAACATTGATACTAAACTTATTCCACGATCAGATCCTGACTTCTTGGAGTGAGCTTGACAACTACTAAGGCCGACTGAATGGGCCACGCCAGTGCCGCCTCCACTGCTTCAAATATCAGAACCAGTTCTGCAACTCCAGCTGCGGGCAACCTTTGAATATCAACTGGGGTGAGGCGATCTACGCCAAGCCCAGCTTTTGCTTTCATCTGCCCTGCCGCCCTGAGTACCATGTCCGTCGCGATGGGAGGTAGGGGATCAGATTCTGCCGCCACCCGTATCTGACGCAGCAGCTCCCTGGTTGCCGATAAGTCAGGAGGGGAAGGTGCCCACAGCTTCTGAAACTCCTTGCCTTTCTTGTCCATGATGTCCCGTGGATGGAACAGCACTGCTTCGCCCGAAACTACTTCCGAGGCTGGAAGCGGCGTGGGCTAGAGTGCCTTGTGTAAGACACCGACTGATTCCTTCTCTGCAGCCCAACTCCGAAACTCCTGCAGTGATGACGCCAACGCTTGCCTCTGGACTCGCTGCGAGACCTTCTTGGTACTCGCCTCGAACGACTGCAGAATTGGAACCGCTTGGCATCCCTGGCCGCTGAGCAGCTGGAGCCACTCGTGCCAGGGTGGGTCCCGGCCTGCACGAAGCGGCTGATGTACACCCTCAGGGCGGTCACCACAGAGTTTGAGGCAGGCCTGTCGGTATTGGTGTACCTGGTGTGCACCATTGCTCCGAACTGCGTGTCGTGCCAGACCTGCGATGACTGTGTGAACTCGTGTCCACCACTGGGCTTTCTGATCGCGTAAATGCAACTGGCGCCTGTGCGACGCCTCACGAACCCGCTTGGCAACAAACCTCGGTCCATGGGCTCGACTGAGCCCCGACATAGCAACACCATGGTGAGTGTTAACAGCATTCTCCACAGTCTGAACCCAAGCTGCATACGTTCCCGATACAGACGACGTGTGTTGGATTGGGAGAAATGGCTACGGATTGCAGCAAGGACGAGTGGACATATTCTGCACACTGGCCCCCTGGAGCGAAACCGACCTCCCGCCGACATTGGCCCCACAGGTCCCCGGGGATTTGAAACGCGGCTTCGGGTGCGGTGTCTCCGTGGCCTTGGGAGTTATTAGGATTATCACTCAATTGCTTGCTATCGGCAACGGGGGGCTGGCTCGTATTCGGGGAGGGGCTGCCAGACAACATCCTACCGTCAGTGGAGGGGGGCAGGGCGTCAGCGCCCGCCGTCCCGAGACGCGCGCCCCGACTCTCGCCAAGCTCAGGCTGCGCGAGGGGAGGGGGGGGGGGAGTTGACAGGGCCCTGGCCGCCGAAATGACCAGCGGCCGTTGCCCCTGGAACGTTGGCAGGGGCGCGGCAGCTTTCATCTGCCCATGGGTCTGGCTCACGTGGCCAGTCATCCAACTCGCATTCGAAATCTGGATCGATATTGGGGGGCGGGGCCCGTGTGGCTCCTTCCTCGTTATGGTGAAACTTGCTTGACTGTGCACAGCCCCCCAAACATTTCATGAAACCTAGCAGCTCGGCGTTCGGCGGCTACTTTATTTTCAGCCTCCAGGCGAGCCTTCGCTACATTACTTTTGGAGCCAACTGTGGGCTCCTGACGAGGCCTCGGGAGCTGAGGGGGCCTAACAGGGGCCTCTAGCACCCTAGTCCACAGCTGGGGCCCAGAGCTTCTCAGATCAACCTTGAGGCCCACATGGGGCTTCCAGGGCACGCCCCGAACAATAGACACATTGCGGACAAACGAGACGGCCATTGGGCAGCAAACAAGGTAGTCAATGAGCGTGTCTTTCTCTCCCTTTTTTTGCGCACAAGTGCCCGTGTTGCCCTCTGCTGGCCGAGGCTCGAGGCAGAG